CCAGCACCACCAGAAACACTGTCTTCCCTCCCACAGCCTTCACAACCCTCACCATCCGCCACCCCAACCACCAACAAGCCTGCTGGGGCAGGCTGCTCCTGTGGTTCTCCTGGGAACTCATCTGAGGGGTGCATAAAGCCCACTGGGCTGCCAAATGAGGGAAGGACACTCTTAAGAGACAGTAGCATACTGAGGTTAAGAGAGGCGAATCAGCAAGGCCTGGGTTCGAATCCTGCCTCTGCCACTTTGCATAGGCATGAACTTGGGCATGTTGCTTCCCCCTCTTCTGGCTGGCTGCCATCTCCCTCCCCACCACCATGGAATGGGGATAGTAAGAACCCCTTCCTCTTGGGGTGCTGTGAGGGCTAAATGAGTTAACCATTATAAAGCCCTTAACACAGCCACACTCCAAATGAGTGCTGGAGGAATGTGTTTGGTGGTGGCGATGGTGAACAGATTCTCTAAGAGCCCCCCTGGAAAGGGAATTAGGGGCCAGAAGATGGAAATGAGGCATTAACTGCAGGCTGAACGAACAGAGGCCAGGAAGGACCTGGCTCCCGAGGACGCCTGCAATCCATGCAGGGCCCCTTCGTGCACCGCGGTCCCATGGTGACTTGATGTGGCTGTTTGTTTTGTGTGCTGACACAAGCACGTCATGGGGCCAGGGGGAAGACCAAAGTGGAAACTCTTTGTCCATGGAAAAACAGTAAGCAAGTGACTGTTTTCCTCCTGTCTTCAATTGCCCAAATCCTTGTCTTATTTACAGGATTCTCACAGGCCCCAGTGGAAGACCGTTTCTTTCCTACCACCTGTGATTTAATGCCAGGAGTCACAATGGGGGAATGCTACCAGCATCTCGTGGGTAGAGACCCTGGAGATTGCTTAGCCTCCTGCCAGGCACAGGGTGCTCCCCACAACACAGGATCATGCAGCCCCAAGTATCAACAGTGCCTAAAGCCAAACACTGTTGCCAAGATTAAAAGGAAGCTCTCCCTTCTCTATGCTCTGCAAACATCTTGTTTGAGCTTGTGTTGGGGTATTGGCCTGACTCTCCTAGATATGCTAGTTAGCTAGTGGCGTCCTGGTACAGCCGGAAGGGCCCAGGTCCTGGCTCAGCCACCCGCTGGCTAAAACCCAGAAACAGTCATTTAGCTTCTCTGAGACCATTTCCTCATTTGAAAAATGGAGAATTAGAATCCTAATTTACAAGCTTAAGGGCAGGGTTACATAGAATGTTGTGCAGAACCCCTGGCACGTGGCAAGTTCCCACCAAGTTATCGGGACGCGTTTCACTAGATACAACCCAGAAGGTCAAGTAATGTCCTGCATACGTCTGCAACTTAGGCTATGCCATGCACATAGTAGGTGCTCGGAAATTGTTGAACTAAAGTGAAGTGTTCCCTGGAAGCCAAGGATTAAGAAATAAACCCAGCCCATCTCGGGGACCTATACATGGCCCCACAAATTTAAATGGTTTTGATTTAGTCTTCAGGATACACCAACATCCCTGCCCCTGTGTCTTCCTGTCACCAAGTCCCAGGCCCTTCCAGTGAGCAGGGAGACTGACGCTGGTCTTTCCATTCTTTCTGGGACTGCCAGAGTCTTGGCCACTGCTTGGGGCCATTCCTGGCTGAGCAACTCAATAACCCACCACCAGCCAAACATCTGCTCCAGTGGAGGCAGAAGAAAGTCAAAGGAAATGCCAGTTTCCTAACAGGAGGGATGCAAGCCTGGAGAAGTGTGATCTGCCTGGAAAATGAGAGTGGTCATCCTCCAGTCCTTCAGATTGAATGGAGACTTCCTAAACACATACTCAGTCCACACCCCACGGCTGACATAGCTCGGCTACACCCGGGAGCAAATGTGAACAAACCATCTCTACCTCTTGCCACTGCAAAGCTTTCCAAGGCTCATCTACTACCCCTTTTCTCCTGCTGATGAAGACATCAGGGAAGGCCTACTGGGCCAGGAGGGAGACCTGACTGCAAGTCTGATCCCTGTCTCTAATGGGCTGTAATTCAAAGGAAGTCCTGTTAGTTCACTGAGCCTCAGTTTCCCATCTGTGAAATGAAACCTGCAAAGCTCTCTACGGTTCTTTCTGGCTCTGATAGCCTATGCTCTTTCTATGGCCAGTCGTGGCTTGGCTCCCACAGAGACCTGCTGAATGCCATACAGACAAGCCCTGATGCAGTCCAAGGGCAGCCCTTCTGTTCTCCAAGGTCGGGATCTCCTATTACTGTACGAGGTGGCCCACAGAGAATGGCAGGGGACACATATCTCCCCCACTGTTCAAGTTGTTTGGAATGGACACAATGAGCCCTGTCCCTTCACAGCGCCCCGAGGCCAGGCCAGGCTGCCCAGGAAGTATCAGGCAGGGACTCAGATTGCAAAGATACATGGCGACACAGACATTCTGCAAGCCCACAGGGATCTAGGCCAAGAATAGATAATGCTTCTACCAAGCATAATCATAATTGCTAGGTATCTAAGAGCTCACTGTTCCAGGTACAACACTGTTCTTAGCTGCTTCCTCCAAATCCCTTGGTAAGGAATCCAGACACAACCATTTCGTAAAAGGAGAACTCCACTCCCAATCCCTTCATCTGTTTTATCCCTGAATCCCCCTTCCCTCCAGGCCCCCAGTCCTCTCACTGAACTCACATCAGCTCCAGGGTGATCCCTGACACACTAAGGACTGCATGTCACCTCCACAGAGCTTTCTTCCCTCCACAGACGGAGCACCATGCCCCTGTCTGCTGGCTGCCCTGCACTCTTGACTATGGATAGGTGCTGGGTGGCGAAGGGGAAAGAGTCAGAAATCTGGAGTTGGAATCCCAGCTGTACCAACTTGGACAAGTTTTAATCCTTATCCTCCTTGCATCTCAGTTTGCTTCTCTATAAACTGGTGTCAGCAAAACTCACTTTGAACAGTGTCCTGAGGATTAAATGACGCTGCATAGGAAGTGCCTGACCTACACTAGGTACTCAGAACAGGCAGTCTTTTTATAAGGATTTCCCTGGCTTGCTGAATAAGGCAGGCCCAGGCACAAAACATGCAAACAGTTTGAGAAAGAAGTGATTTAAAACCAAAAGTTCTTTCGGTTTTGGATTGGATTCTCTTTGGGTTAAGGAAGAGTTGACTTGTTCTTCCCTAAGAATTTTGCATTTGATCAGATAGATGCCACATCCGTGGAGAGTTCTGATATTACCATAAGGACCCTGAGGTCAGACACACACACACGCACACACATACACACACACACACACACACACATACAGATTCAGGTTTTCAGGTTGTCTAAAGCAAATCACTTCCCTAGCCAGAGCAGATTGTCATGGTTCTCCAGCACAGCAACACATTAACATCACCTGGGGAGGTTTTCCACCCTAAGGGTCTGCCAGCCCCATCCCAAACCACTTTCACCAGGGTCTCTGCTAGGTGGAGCTTGGATAGCAGTACTTCTAATAGCTTTCTAATAATTCTAACATGAGATCCACTGGACAGGCTCGCTCTGAAGTCCCTCTCAGCATCCTGGTGCCTACAACAATGTATGATTCAAAACTAGACACTTCATGTATGTTTGATGAATAAGTTCGTGAAGATTTTGACTCAGGTTTTTTGCTATTTCCCTATTCACGATGTATGAGGTAAAAGAACAAACAGTTAGATTGCAAATTAAGAATCCTGGAGCAGTGCTATCCAATAGAAATTTCTGCAGTGATGGAAATGTTCTATAATCTGTGCTGTTCAACCCAGTAGCTATAAGCCACATGTGGTTCTTGAGCCCTTGAAATGTGGCTCGTGTGACAGAGAACTGGATTTTTAGTTTTCTGTCATGTGAATCACATAGCCATGTGTGACTTCGGGCCACCTTATTGGACAGTGCAGACATAGAGTGTCTGCCTTTCACAAACGTACCCATAGCCATGCCCCTCCATGCCCCTCTTTTACTAACAATGCCGTTTTCATTTAGGGCAGTCCCCTGCCCCTACTGCCTGAGGTCTTTTGGGGGCAGCTCATGAAGTTGCCCCGCCCTCTTCCAGCCAAGGGGTGGGCCCAGAACCCCAACTCCGTCAACCAGACTCTCCTTTCCAGGAATCTAACTGTAGCTTCAGTGTTGCAAGAAAATGAGTTGGAGCAGGTTAATACCAATGTGGATTCCCTAAGACACTGTGTATTCGTTTCCAGAACATTACTCCCTAGTGTGACAGTAATAAGTGAGATATGATGTGACCTAGGCATCATTATCATCATCATCCCTATCATCATCCAAGTACATCAGCAGTACCTAGCAGCCCTGGCATGCTGGCTCCTAAACCACGTACTTAAGCTGCCTACCTTCCCTGTGCATCATTTCTCCATCTGTAAAATGGAAATTAACTCATCCAAATTTCTTCCAGAGTTTTTGTAAAGGTGGCAAAAGAATTAGCCATAAGAGCTTTGAGCTAAATGAGGGAGTGACCAAAGTGTCACCAGAGGTGTTGTTTCCTGGGTCTAGGTATGGGGAACCGTGGGAAGGTTTGATGCAGGACCCAAGATCTGGGCCCCGTTCACAAGCTCTGTGACCCCAGGCAAGACACTTGTCCTTGCTCAGCTTTCTGCTAAAATGAGATTAAGGCACATCCCTCTCTAGTTTCACCATTTTCTCATTGATTTGTATGCTCCTCCCACCTTGCCCGACACCCGTCTCCTCCTTCTACGAATATATCCCAGAAAACTCTAGGCTAGATCATGCTGGCCTTGTATCCAATTCATTTCGTCTTTCCCCAGTAACCCACTTAACTGGCAAGTTGCCCTGGGTATGCACTCTCATAGCTTCCTGGACTAAGCCTCTGGCAAAGCACTTTACTAGAATCATGTTTAACCATCTCCTCCAGTAGTAGACCATAAGCCTTACCAGGGCAAAGCTCACGTTCCTCTTGTTCAGCACCGTATCCCCAGTGCCTCGTACAGAGCCAGGCACGTAGAAGGTGCTCAGTAACTATTTCCTGTTAGAATGTTTGAATAAAGACTCCAAATCCATTTTATTATTTGTCATTTCAGGAAGTGTCGTTTCACAGAATTAATCATCTAATGCTGCATAACAAAATACCCCAAAACTTACGGGCTTAAAACAACAATGATCGCTTCTTATCTCTTGTTTTCTGTGGGAGAGAAATTCAGACAGGGCACAGCGAGGTTGGCTTTATCTCTGCTTCTTGTCTGCGACCTCGGCTGGAAGACTCAAAGGCTGGTGGTGGAATAATCTCAGTTCACCACTTATCTGATGAGTGATGCTGGTTGTGAGCTGAGAGCCTAGCTGGAGATGTCAGCCAGAGCACCTCCTGTCCTCTCTCCATGTGGTGTGGGCTTCCTCACAGCAGGGTGGCTAGGTTCAAGGGTGGCTGTCCTGGGAAAGTAAGAAAGAGACAGGAGGAACGTCTCTTTTCTAGGACTTCAGTTTAGGAGTTAGATAACATCACCTCCACTACGTTCTGTTCATTAGAACATCAGTCACTAAGCCCAGCCCACAGTCAAGGGGAGGGGAATTAGCCAACATCTTTTGAAAAGAGAAGTGGTAAAGAACCTGCAAACATGTTTAAACTACCACAACCACTTAGCTAGCGCAAGAGGCCAAGGGCAGGGTGAAAAGTAAGTGTCTAAAGAAGGTTTCGGTTCAAATTATTATCCGTGTGAGCTTGAAGGAATTGCGCTCTGAGAATCAGTTTTCCCACCTGTACAATGAGTAGGTGGCAGTTGTTGGCGCTTGGTGGTTTTCATGCTTGGAGTCTTCTTGCCTCAGTGGGCTTAAGAGGAGCGCCTCTTAACCAGCTTTCTTGAAGTCCCGTGACCCTTCCCATCACTCATCATCCTCGGTTTCTGACCCTGGAGGCAGCAAGAGGTAGCTACTGGAGCTCAGGGGACCTAGGAAGTTCAACACCAGGGATAACTTTAGGGAACGGAGGAGGAACCACTGAGCACCTCCTGATTCTCCAAGGCCTTCTCTGTCCCAGCCCAGGTGTAGAAACCTCAGCTTGTCAGAGACGGGGTGGTGAGAAATGCAGCAGTTACAGACCTGAACAATCCACATATGCGGGCTGGCAGGCCAGAGCCCAGGAATCTGCATTACCCCACCCCCCACCCCCACAAGACTGTCATTCATACTAACTCCTGGTGGGAGAGAGGAGAGAAGTCTCAAAGCGCCCATGGCTATCTGTCTCCTTTCGGAAAGTTCTTTCCCTCTGCTCCCTGTTCGCGCCTTTTCCGCGTTACTGCTCTGTGGAGGGGGAAGAAAAGTTTGCCTTGGGTCTCCGCAGTCCTGGGCCCATACACAGCAATGGGCTGTACTTTCTCCTTCTTCTGAGCCGGTTGGACCCTGCAGGACCGTCGCCTCACACTCCCACGGGACGCGCGGTTCCCAAACCCTGGTGCGCAGCGGCCCCTCTGCCCCGGGGCGCGAGGGCGTCCACCGCCGGGTCCAGGGAAGCCAACTAGGGGCGAACCCCGCGCCTGCCCCTCCCACTGGTGGAGGTCTTGGGGTGGAACTGGGTGGCTTTTAACCCTTTCGCTTCCAGAAGTCGTGCCCCTAACCCCCAGATGTCTTCCTTTAAGGAGCCCGCACGCCAGGAGGACTCTGCGCTCACCTGGGGTGACGAGCTCGGCTGATACATGGGGAAACCGAGGCCCACTGAGGGAAGCGATTTGTAGGATGTCCCGCAGGAAACTAGACTCTGACTGCTGTCTAGAACCCGGTCCTCCAGGCCGGAGCTCTCGCTCCTAACCCCCTGAGGGCCCCTGCGAGGTGCTTCCTTTAGGAAATTCCCGACCGCGGGCCTCCCGAGCCCGGCATCTCCGTGCAGTTTGCGCTCCGTGCAGTTTGCCCTCCGTGCAGCACGCTGCGAACTTCCTCCGCGGCTCCGCGCCGGCTTCGCAGCGCCCTGACAGAGAGGTGAGAGCCGAGCGGACGACCCCTTGCCTCCTAGAGATAACCTGGGGCGCAGGGCCGGCCGCCAGAGGCTGAGGGCCCGGCGGGAACGCGCTGGCCCTTTAAGGGGGGGACGGAGCGCATGCGCGGCGCGGGCCGGAGTCGAGCCCGGTGGGCGGCAGGCGGGCAGGGGACGCGCGCGGCCGGCGCAAGCTGGGCCCTGGGGCGGCGGGGGCGGTGGTGGCCCGAGCCTCGCGGAGCAGCCGAGCCGCGATCTGTGCCTGGACCCCGCGCTCGGCCGGCTGCTCTCCCGGGACTAACGCAGCCCGCGCTCGCAGGGGCTTTGTCACTCGCCTCCAGCTCCATCCGCGGACTGTGGCTGCGCGAGCCTCGAGCCCTCCCCGCGGGAGGTCCTTCCTCCCGGCTCCGCTCAGCCCGGGCAGCGCGAGCGCGAGCGCAAGCGGACCGCCGCGGAGCATCCTTCGCCCGGCCCGGCCGCGCCACCGCCCATGCCGCAGCCACTCCGAGGCTGCGACCGCGCGGCCGGAGCCCGCCGCTCGGTGACCTCAGCCTGGCCCCTGCGCGCCGCCCGAGTCGGCCCCGCTGAGCCCCGGGCCTGGGAGCGGGACCCGCGTCCCACGATGGCTCGGTCGGCGCTGCGCGGCGCCGGGTGCCCGCTGTCCGCCCGCTGAGACGCGCCGGGCTGGGGACCGGCGGGGCCTTGGCGCTCCCCGCCGCGCCCTTCCCCCTTCTGAGAGCTTCGCTGCTGTTTCCCGGGGGCGAGGGGACGGGGGCCGAGACAAAGCCCACTTTGTGCGGGGAGTTGGCCGCGGGCGTGGAATGAGCGTGTCGGCGCGCGCCCCCTCCCCGCGCCCCGCCAGCTGCGAGTCTTGACTCCCAGGCTCGTCGCGTGGAAGAAATCGCGGCCCCTCGCCACCCTCCGGTCCGGGGGTCCCGGCTCCGACCTGATACGGCCGGGAGTCGCCTCGATATCCCCCGGAGCGCGCGCTGCCTGAGCGTGCGATATTTTGGAGAGGAATCTGTTCTCTCCAAAACTGGGACTTGGGGCGCCCGGTCGGCCTGGGCACCGGTGCCTTGACCCTCTGTGGCTGCAGGTCGGAGCTGTCTGGCCTCAGTTTCCCTCCGACTTTTCTGCTCTCTGCAAGCCCAGACTGCTGCCATCATTGTTCTCGCTGTCAAATGGGGGAGCTTTGTGAAGGCTGCCAACTTGGGGTGTGTTCTCTTTATCCCGCTTCACAAAAAGAACAAAGCCTCTAAGGCTGACCCCGGACAACCACCTCTCTACCCCCTACTTCACGTTGAGGCACTGATTTTTTTTTTTTCTTATCGAGTAGTATTTTACTGTACAGGAGCCACGCCCTGGTTTCTTAAAGGCGCCTTGCACTCTGTTTGGCCATGTGTTATCTCTGCAGCTGGTGTGTGGGAGGCCTCTTGTGAGCCACCTATTTTTTTTTTCTGCCTCCTGATACATTCTCCCACCCCCGTCAAAGATTCGGGGATGCCAGGGGGGAAGAAGGTGGCCGGGGGTGGCAGCGGTGGTGCTGCCCCCACTGTCGCTGCCGCCCCCTCTGGGGTCAGACGTCTGGAGACCAGCGAAGGGGCCTCAGCCCAGAGAGATGATGAGCCAGAAGAGGAAGGGGAAGAGGACCTGCGAGATGGAGGCGTCCCCTTCTTTGTCAACCGGGGTGGGCTGCCTGTGGACGAGGCCACCTGGGAAAGGATGTGGAAGCACGTGGCCAAGATCCACCCCGATGGAGAGAAGGTGGCCCAGCGGATCCGTGGGGCCACAGACCTGCCCAAGGTGAGGGATGTGTATGTGTATGGGTGGGGGTTGGTATTCAGGGTTTTAGTGATGTTGGGGCTGGGAGAACAAAACCACACCTTCCTTTGTGGGGTAGGGGACCACTCGCATGGTAACACTTTAAAAATACAGACAGGTTGTACCTGTCCAGAAGAATTTTCTCTCAACTGCCCCTGAGGTTCTGTGAGGTCCACATACCCTGTTTCCAGTAGGCACTCCTCCATCTCTTTTTATTTATTTTTTTTAAGTTTATTTACTTAAGTAATCTCTACACGCCAGTGGGGCTTGAACTCACGACCCAGAGATCAAGAGTCTCATGCTCTTCTGACTGAGCCAGCCAAGCGCCCCCTCTTCCGTCTCTTTTTAAATACCCATGTTTTGTGGGCAGGGCAGTGGATTAACTAACGAGTACACCAGCGTGGCTTATATCTTATTTGCTAAGCCAATGAACTGTGTGGGCAGAGAGGTAATGAAGGACTAAGGAGTACACAGGGCTTCAAGTGTTGAGAAAATATTTTCGTGCCTCATCCCACTGAGTTCTCAGACAGCCTTGCGGAACAAGTGGGGCTTGGGGTCCCATTTTACAGATGGAAACTCAGGTAGGAACTCGGGGTCCCACAGCCATTAAGTGGACACAGAACCAGGACTCAACCACAGGTCTTCGGGTTCCAGGTCCTCTGCTCTGCTGGATGTGAGATGCAGGGCAGTACGAAAAGGGCCTGTGGAGAGGAGTAAAGTTAAATCATCTTTCCGTGTAGGGCTGGCTCCACGATGGCTGTCCTTTAGTTGCGTCCCCCATGAAGGCTGAGGCTGTGTCTCATTCATCTTTATCTTTCCAGGGCTTTCTGTGCGCCTCGCACAGGACAGGCACTGGTGTGTGTTTGCTGGATGAAAGAGTGCTTGAAGTTTTCGCATGCATAATTTTTGTGTTTTTTTAGCATTAAGGTTGAGACTAAGGAAACACTCTCCCCGATGCAGAAATGCCCAAAGAAAAGCGCTTGGGGCAAAAGTCAGAGCCCAGTGCTTAGTCGTGCCGGCTCAGGTGAGAAGGGGACCAGGGACAGCGGCCCTTCATGTGGAATAGACATGGAGACAGCCTGTTTTGTTTCATTTTTACCAAGTCATTGGTGGAGCCGTCAGAAACTGTCTTCCGGGAAAAGGGAATTCAGAGGTTGAAGGCTGAGCAATGGCCTAATATTTCCTGGGGAAATAAAATATGGATTGATTTTGCATGGCTACATAATTGCCCTATGTAGAAACTTGGAACTTAGGAAGCTAATCCCCTGTGATTGGACATTATTTCTAATATTTTATTCTTAAGATGAACACGGTAGCGAACATTCTAAGACATACATTTGGGGATCCGTCTCTTATTATTTCCTTGGCATAAATTCCTGGAAAGGAAGCGTTGCGTCAAAGGATACGGCTGATGGTTTTGATCACCCGCCTCTCCCTGTGAACTCAAGCAGGCCCTCGACCTATTTGAGCCAGTTTTCTCACCTGTGCGATGGAGTGGAGTGTGGGGAAAATTCAGTGAGAGACTACGTGTCAAAGGCCGTAGTTGTTACTGGAGGTTTGTTACCTCTCTTCACATCTTCCCTCAGGAGGGGAGGCTAGGTTTCACTCGGTGTTGGCGCCAAGAGGGCCAGAGCCCCACGCTTCTCCCAAACAACAGCAAGTCGGGGGTTAGCAGACAGCTCTCCAGCACCTTGCTTATGTCTGAATCGGGCTGTGGGAGAGTGTGAATGGTTCCCTGCAAAACTGTCACCACTCCCAAAGACTAAAAAAAATTCGCGAATTCATTAGCGACTGGTCCATAATGTCATCCTGTCATCTTCAACCTTCACGTCTAGGGAGGACACCCATGAAAAATGAAGCTCTTGGTTGGGTGTGGAGGGGATGTCATGACTGACAGTCTGGTGGAGTGGAAGGGGTCTTATGTGCAGACTGGAAAAATTCCAAACTCTCCCTCCTTAAACCATGTGACAAAGGTCACAGATAGAGAAGCTGGATGTCTCTGTGGGGTTCCTCTTGGACCTTAGCCCAGAATAGAAAGGAGCCCTAGAGTCTGGGAGGCACCGGTGATTGGATCCCAGAGTGCCAGCAGCAGAGACGACCAACCCCTGGGCTGGCCCCTCCTGGGTGGCCGTGCCCTTGGAGGCATTCTCTGTAGAGGTCACATCATGGCGGGCCCAAGAGCTGTTTTGTTGGGATGGCGTTCTGTTTTAAAAGATCACTGGAGCCAAAGTGTAAAATTGGGAGATTTCACATAAAGATCCAGATTGTGGGCATCTTTTCAGAAAATGAGAAGATCCGGGAACAGAGAATCTGTGATCCCACATAGCAGCTGGCTGCTGGAGCTGAGGAGTAGTTCCCTCTCTCCCAACTGGCCACAGTCCCCGCCACGCCCTCCCCGCCTGCCTTCCCCCTTTGTGCTACCTGCCCGGCCCCTGCCCGGGGCTCAGCCTGGGAGTCCTGTAGTGTAGTGTGATACAAAGAGCTCAGCAGAAGACTCTAGCATATTCAAATCCTGATTCTCTCATAACTGTTTTTGTGTGAGGAAGGCATGCAACCTCCTTGTGCCTCAGTGTCCTCAGCTGTAAAATGGGGATGGTAGCAACACCAGTGTCCAAGGGACTTGGGGAGGGATTGATGAAGTCGAGCATGTGAAACCAGGTGAGCACATAATGTGTGCCCAGCAAATGGAGCAAGGCCTGAGGGTGTGGTGGCCACACCCCAGGTGCTTTGGGGGAGCATCCTTTAGAGGATGATACAGTTCGTTGAAGGGCAGCCTGCTTCCAAAAGGATCTCAGGTCCAGGAACAGTTCATGTCCTTTCATAAGAATCTCTCCTTGATGTTCCAAGCTGCCACCACCTTTAAAAGCTCAGGGGCCACTTCTCCCAGACCAGCTGCTGCTGGTCTTCTGATGGTGGCTCTGGCCACGGAGCTCCTGCAGAATGGGAATTTGGACATCTCCTCCAAAAAGGTAACACTGCCGGTATCCACACACGCTGACCAGCCGCCTTGGCCCACACTGTAAGTGACGCTGAGCAGGAATCGAACCTTTGCTCTGTGCCAGTCGCTGTTCTAAGGCCTCGATGTGTAGCACCTCCTTTATGCTGTGAGGTTGGTTCTGTTACGGTTCCCATTTCACAAATGAGGCTTCTGAGGCACAGAGAGACCTTCAGGAACTTGATGCCAGACAGTAAATGGCAGAGCTGGGATTTGGATTGAGATGGTCTGGTTCTGACCGGCTCTATCAACCTCCAGGCTGTCCTGCCTCTTGCCCACACCTTCATCTGCGGGCTGATCCACCTCCCTGAAAAGCCTCTTTGTTGTGCTGGTTGAAATGGACTCTACCAGGGAGACTGTCTTAGTAGAGTTCAGGACTTCAGGGGGTCATGGACCAAGGGTAACCCTTGGCCTTGGTAGTGGAGGAGGAGTTGTCCCCGAAGAGATCTGGGTAGTAGATATCACTCACTGCCACGTACCCCACTTAACCACCCTTTGACACTTCCTGGCTCCCGGTTTGTAGCTGGGGGCCAGGAGGCAAATCCAGGCTACCAATTTGCCCCCAGTCCTAAAGCGGGCCTGGCCGTTTGGATGTACGGAATCCTGCGTATTTGTTTTTGAGCAAATGAGTGTGTACGTGGACGTTCAGAAGAACAGCGTTGGCGCTGTCTGCATC